TAAATATAAGAGAAGACTTTAAAATAAAGAAAAAATATTAAAAATAATATCAATTTAGAAGAAAGTAATCTGCAATTGCTAATACGCTTAAGTCTTATCAAGAAAAAGAAGTAATTTATTCTTAATCAAAATAAGACAAAGCTATGATATTGTAAGTATATTCTTGTCAATTTGTCAAATATAAGAACTTCATGAAAGCAAATAAACAAGTAAAATTCTCTCAAAGAAATATAAAAAAATAAAAATAGAGCAATATGTATATTAAAAAAGAAACTAAAATGACTATTGCTAAAAAATAAAGAAATTAAAGAATATTGAAACTAGACTGGAAACAAAAAAGAAATTGACAAGACAAAAGAAGGCTTCACTTTTGCCTCTATATAACTATCTACCTAAGATCTATGTGGCAACATTCTATAGAACCTCCAAAAACGTGTTGACTTTGTATGATACCTATCTTAACTTATAATGTAAGTTTTCTATATGGGTACCATATAGTTATCTTGTTTTGCAAGCTATCAATACATGTGGCACATGGTTAGCTTATTGAAATTTTTTTTAACCTATCAATTAATTAAAAACACATATAAGGTCAAAAAAGCATCTAAAAAGCTTTAAAGAAGCTTCTTTAGAAGATTATATGAAAATTTATTTTTACCTATTTCTACCTATTCATATTATATAAATAATAATTATAATAGATATATATCTATAACATCAAGAAGATTATATTTTCCACCAAAGGCTAAAAAAGTAGCATTTGATCAATAATATACCATTCTTTTGAAGCCAAAATAATTTTGTTTGTATACTATTTCTATAGTTGTACTTATTGTTTCAAGTTTTTTTGAATAAATTTGTGCAGCATCAGCTAAGGACTCATTGATTTGTAATATCAAGTAACATTTTCATAATCACAAGTTCAAGTTTGTAGAAGATTTTTTACATTTTATAGATTGTTTATATATTCTAAAAGGATTGATGAATTTTATATTCTTCAATCTTATTATAATTTTCCAACTATATGACATTTTAGGTTTAATAAAATATTAGAACTTATCTTTTAAGATTTTTGATGGCCTCAAATATAAAAGATTGTAAAGGACTTTGTTCTCTTATGTGACATTTTATTAAAATCGAAGAATTCTTGATATCATCCTTATAGATTTTTATAGCCACTATCAATTCCAAAGTAACCATGGTCTTCAATAATTTGCTACCATCAACTACATTTGATGTTATGTACATTATTGTGAATTGACTTACAAAGATAGTAGATTTTATCTTGTATAAAAAGATAATTTTTAGAAAAGAAATGACAAGGCTCTTTCTTGATAATATATATTGACATCATGGCCTACTTAATGACATCAATTTTTCATTAAAAATTTTAATTTATATCAAAGTTTTGGAAATATTTTTTTCAAATATTGAAGGTGGATATCAAAATTTTTTCTCCTTTTATCCTCAAATAGATGGTCAAAAAAATAAATCAATCAACTTTTAAAAGATTACTTGCAATGTACCATCAATTATTAGTAAGATAATTGAATCTTATATTTATCTTCAACAAATTTTACTTATAATAATACTCTTCATGCTTTGACTCTAAACACCATTTTACTCCAACTATGCTTACTATCTGAAGCTTGATTTATTAGGTATATCAAAGGATGAAAACCCAACAATTGAAGATCTTAGAAAATAATTGTCAGAGTTTCAGTCAACTTTGAAGTTGCATTTATAAGAGCTCAAGATTCTTATAAAGCATCTCCAGATGAATTTAGAAAAGAATTTTTTGCTATTGAAGTTGGAGATAAAGTAAGGCTTTTTTAACAAAATATTAAGACTAATTGACTTTATAATAAGTTGGACTATCAAAGATTGAGACTATTTTGTATTCAAAAGTAAATCAATTTAGTCACTTATTGGTTGGAACTATCCACATCTATGAAGGTACATCTAATCTTTCATATTTCTCTCTTAAAAGCTTATTTAGAATCAACTATTTCTAAAAGAATACAATCATCATTATCTTACATTGAAATAGATAATCATGTGGAATATGATATAGAAAAGATTCTTGATTCTTGGTAAAAAAGAAGAAAGATAAAATATTTTATTCATTAGAATGGCTATGATATCAATGAGCATACATGAAAATCAATAATTAATCTAGTTAATGCACTACAAAACATATAAAAGTTTCATCAATACTATCTTCAAAAATCTAAATTTATTTTAGGATGACTTTTCTATGAAGCTACTACTAAGTTGTTGTATATATCAAAGAAAGTAAATATGAAACTGATACTCTTTGTAGAGCTCAAAATTCAATTGAGAAGTGATATTACAAACATCTAATAAGAAGATTTTAGAAATATTTTATTAAATTCTAGAAGATTTTATAAGATTCTAAAAAGATTTTTAAAAGAATCTTAGAAGGTTTTAGAATATTTTAGAATATTTTAGAAAGTTTTAAAAAATTCTAAAAGGATTAAAAAAGTTATTTAAGAAGCTTCTTAGGATTGCTTCATCTTTAAGCAATATAAAGACTCCTTGTAAAGCTTCCTAAGATTGCTTCAACTTTAAGAAATATGAAAAATTTTCAAGGAGCTTCCTAAGATTACTTCAACTTTAAGCAATATGAAAACTTTTCAAAGAGCTTCCTAAGATTACTTCAACTTTAAGCAATATGAAAACTTTTCAAAGAGCTTCCTAAGATTACTTCATTTTTAAGCAATATGAAAATTTCTTAAACAGCTTCCTAATACCAATATATATAAGAGTCAAAGTTGAGGGGATCCTCAATCTCAACAAGATAACTCTTAGAGCTCTAGCTCATCTTTTTTAGTATTAAATTTCTATTTATTTAATCAAATCACATTCTTATTAGTTTTCTTCTTAAAATTATTCTATTCAATTTCTTGTTTAGTATCTTGTAGGGTGTATCTATGATAATTCGTTTAGTATAGTAATTAAAAAAACTTATTTTTCAAAAAAATAATTCTTTTTAACAACCATACTCTTTGTGTTATGGTTGCATTGCTTCTTTGGACAATATTAAATAATGTGCTTTTGTTTTTTTATAATATAAGCATATTCTTTCTTGATAATATTAAATCTTTTTTTGTTGAGTAAGAAGATTAAAATAAACTTTACAAATTTGCATAGGTGTAGGCCTTAATAAATAATTTTTAAAAACTAAAGATTTTTTGTCATAACTTGAATTGTTTCTCTCTATCTAAATCTTTATTTTTGGTGTATTTCAAAAAATCAATTATTACTTATAATAGCTATATAATAAATTATTTTAATATATCTATTTTTGGTATTATCAATAATAAATATTTGATATTATATTTTATTCTATTTTAAAATCAATTTAAAAGAATTTTATTGTTATAATCTATATTGCAAGCCAAGTTTTGGAATTTACTAATATATACAGTGGTTGATCTAATCCTTGTCATGAAGATAGAAGTTTTGTCTATTTTATCTTTTTTCAATTACTTTCTCGAAATATGATTATAAACATGCTGAAGAATAAATTTAGGTCATATAAGAGTCATGAACTGTTTTCTATAAAAAATGCAAATTAAAAAAGAATAATTTAAGATAATATTGTACCTATAAATCTAATTAGAATAGATTCATTAAGATACTAAGAATGACGTAATTGTAGATATTATCAAATACATGAATTTCAAATAAATAAATTATCTTTATATTCTTATATTATTTAAATAGAATACAAAGAATAAAATTTTATAGTATTAAAAATAAAATAGCTATTGCCAAAGAGATGAAGATTAGAAATTCTTGAAAGAAGACTAAAAACAAGAAAAATAATGATAACAGTGGAAAAGGCCTTGTTCTTGCATCCATATATATTATTTGATTAAGAGCTACATAGAGATATTCTATAGAACCTCTAATATGTGTCTAACTTGTAAGACAAGTTTTCTATATGTGCACTATATGGCCAACTTTTACCACAAGTCACCAAATTTTTTGATACATGGTCAATTTTTTGGCTAAATTTTCAACCTAATAATCACCTATAAATATGTAAAAAAGTCAAATTTGTATCTATGAGCTTCTAAGAAACTTCTCCAAAAAACATTTATTAAATCTATTTACTTCTACTTAATTTTATTTAACTTCTTTAACCTAAATAAATATGTATGTCTGTGACAAGTGAATTTGTTATATTTTTCTTTTGAAGTCATGATTTTTAGCACCTCAAGAATTTTCTTAATCACTTTAATGATAGTAGAATTAAGTATGTGTGTATGTATATACATATATATATATATATATATATGATTTAATGATAATTTATTTTTTTTGAAAAAATAATTTCAAATTATTTTTATTGTGCTTCACAAGGTTTGTAGTTATAAGCCATTTTTTATTATTTTAATTCATTATTTTAGCTTTTTAGTACTTGGTTAAGATAAGAAGGGCTATTTTTATGATTAAATAGAAAAATATAATATAAAATAAACACATAATAATAATAATTTTAATTTTATAATTTTTTGTTATTTATAAATTATTAAGTTGATTGCTTCAACCTTTAAACATGTGCTCAAGGTAAGTAAAGTCATTTTCATGATTTTATAAGAACTAAGTCATGGTTGTAAATTTAATAATAGTAGTACCAAAATGTAAAAATTGCTATATAATAGCTTATGCAATTTTAGGTATATTTTTTTAATTATTATAGAAAATTTGATGATTGTAGTAAAAGCACTGCAAAATTATTTGCATACACCAAATTGTGAATATTAAAACTTGGTGATTAATGCATTTGTATATCTTAGTTCAAATATTCTTATACAATTTAAAGATAAAAGTGCAAAATTATAAGCAACGACATCCATCCTCTACGACGACGATGGGACGTCGTCGCCGTCGTGGACGTCAGGTCGGCGGGGCTCGTCAAGGGGAGGGGAGCCAACCGCGCTCTCTTTCTCTCTCTAGGACATCATGAAGACGGATGGTTTGGGTCACGAGGCTCAAGGTGCCGGGCCCATATTAGTGCGGGAGCGGTGTGGTTAGGTTTCGATTCTGCTACGGTGAGAGAGGTGATGGAGGGGTTTTGTGGCTTTCCCGACCGGCGATTGGAAGGGACCTCAGTGGATTTGGCGATGATTGCGGTGTTTGTTTGCTTGTGCCGTAGAAGAGAGGATTCCTGTCGTGCGTTGTAGCTATGGTGTTTTCGGAGAGTACCATAGCGATGAGCTTCTTTGTGGCTTAGGGATTGTCCGATCCTGGCGAGACCTGCTCGTGAGCTATGGCTGATGGTGATAGTGAGTGGAACCGGGACCATGCCAGAGCGGATTACGATGCAGGTCCTCTGAATCCTCCTTTGTTAGCCATTGCATCACCACCTCCTGGTTCTATGCTTCATCTCATGGGAAGCTTGTTTCCATTGGCTGATATGCAATGTGGAGACGTAAACAGTGAGAAGAGTGAACATTATCCTGTCTCTTCACATCCAGTTGCGCTAATTTCCAATAGTCCATCTTCGTCTTCTTCTCCTGCTTCAGAATATCATGTGGCGACTGAAGTCCATGTGTCCACCCCCGATTATGCGCTGCTAACACACTCGATGGGATCCCCATGCTTACTGAAGGGAGAAATTCCTTTTCAGCTGCAGGCTTCTGGCATTTGGGATGCGACAGCAGCACCTGCTACACATCTCTCCCAATTTCCTCATCTTCGTAGTAGTTTGCGTACAGGTGCTATTTGCCTTTTCCTGTTCTTCATGTTTGGGTGATCAAGTCCTTTTTCTTTCCTTTTTTCAAAATCTTCATGCAAAAGCCTGCTTACTAACAAATTCAAAGTCTTAATGTCGTTCATGAATCTTTTGTGGAGTTGTTGAATACATATTTTTTTGAAAGAGGTATTCTGCAGCTCATCGGGTCCATTAACTTCTGCCTAACCAGTATTTATACTTGTTTTATTCGTATTACATGCTGGCTTTGCTCACTTGAGTGTTTGCCCTTCTTTGTAATAAAAGAGGTTGGAGAAACATCTACTGCTCCCTTCATGTCAAATTCTTCTATTGGTTTGACCTCAGCTGCCGCGGTGCCGCGCTTTGAAAGTGAATCCGCCGACATACTCATGCCTTCTCCTTTAGCAATCCGGGGAGACAAAACTGTACTTGATCACATGGAACCGCACCCCGTTTTGTGTAATTTCAATCAGTCAGATAATGCGACTCCCTTAATCGCTTCTAGAACTCGTCCCTCAAAGAAATCGCCTCCTTCAAATCCTCCTGTAATTGTTGGACAACTTCCACCTGTACCTGATAGTATCCCAAGGGATCCTGTACCGCAGGCTGGGAGAGGTGAGGGTTGGCCTTACGCGCCACAAGGTTGGCCGAAAGCTGATGATAAATGGGGTTGGAGGGTGGGCAAGCGAGCCAGCAGCAATTCGTTATGGATCGATAGATATGTTATACTACCAATTAGCCTTTTGAAGTCTAGAAGGCCGGGAAAGCCTGCCGAATTCGCCAGTCGAAGGAGTTTCTCAGAGTACTTTAAGCAGAATTTTCCCGAAATTGATCCTGATAGCATATTTAAAGCATTTGACTGGAAAGTTCCTGCTCCGAAGAGCACTGAGGATAATGAAGGTAATGTGCATTGCTTCTCTGTGTCTCTTCAGTTGTGTGGTGTTCATCAACCGTTGTTGCAATTGCTTGATGAAAGTATTGGGTTGTAGGGCTGTTCAAATTGCCAGAAACTCTATGCGAGGATAAGAGATTAGACATTTCTGTTGCCAAGGTAAGGCATAGAATAAACGAGTTAATCATTTTCCATTGAATTCACTTTGATGTCAAGAAAATTGGATTTCAGAGAATTATTTGTACACTCTTTACTCCAGTGTATTTATTCGATGTCACCTCTTTTAAGATACCGTCTCTCTTATACTGCTCTTTGTACCTGCTCACGGATGTTGTGCTGGTGTGGTTGGTTTTTATTAGCATTTGATAAGCGAGGGTCGGGCGTCAAACGAGATAAACCATCGTCCACGGACGGGGACGATGGCTGGCAAAAGTTAAAGAAACAATGTCGGGCAGGCAATCCAGATTGCCTTCTTGTAAGGGGAAAGGGCGGTGCATTTGAATCGTTGGAGAGCTTGGTCTGTCATATCTGTTGCTCAGAGCCTGGCTTCTGCTGCGAGTGTAAATGTATACTTTGTTGCGAAACCTTTCTGCCGGATGCTGATGAAGTCAGTATCATCCGATGTCGTAACTTTCCCGTATCGGGGGACGGTATATGTGGTCATGCATCTCATCTTGAGTGTGCACTGACTTCTCAGTTAGCTGGGTCCATCAAGAAGAATGGGCTGGATATGGAGTATATGTGCCGACGCTGTGACAGGAGGATGGATTTAAGAGAGACATTTACTCGTTTGGTCGAGGTGTTGAGCAAAACTGTTATGCGGTCTAAGGTTGAAAATAGTCTCCAGCTTGCGTTGCGAATAGTACAAGATCCAGATGATGAGGCTAGAAGCCCCGGGAAAGTTCTGGCGACTTTGATTGAAGACGCTCTTAGGAAGGTGGGAAACTGCACTCCTTAATTCAACTATATGTCCTACATAAATCAAACCGAGAGTTCATTTGTGGTCCTTTCAAACGGTAAACGCTGAATTCAATTTTAAAGTCTAACATTAAGGAGGGTTTTTTCCTTTCTTTTCTTTTCTTTTTCTTTTCTTTTTTCCTTTTTTTAAAAAAAATCATGTTGGCGCGATAAACTTGTAGAGATAGACTTGGAGATTGTTCTTAAAAGTTCGGTGAACCACCTGGAATCAGGTAATATTGTATTCAGCTAATATCATGAGTATATCAGTTCATCTTTGCTTTGCTACACTTGTAATGATAGAGTGTAATGAGAGCAAAGCTGGTGTTTATGGAATTGATCGTGCTTGTGGAATTCACTTAAGGAACAGCTAGTAGTGTTCAGTAGGTTTACGCAATGAGTTTGAGATGTTGGGCACTTTGTTGGTTTTGCATGGACTTGGGCTCAACTAATAATTTGTTGCAGGTTCGACTAGGAGCTGATATTGGCGAGGTTTACAATGAATTGACCAAGCAACGTCTTGGACTTCAACCAGGTGACTTCCCCATGGAATGATTAGCAGTGGTCGTTGCAGCTTATGTTAGATTTGAAGTTAAGTGGTTCATTCCAGATAAACTCGTTGAGGGGATAACACGGGCTAATGGTGCTTCAGGACAACTGGTTTATGCTAGTGAAGTGTCGCATCAAGTTCAAAACGGGTGAGTGAACGTCCAACTGTGAAGTATTCACATTGCCAGTCTTATATGAATGGTGCTGTCGTTCTGGTTGGAAGCCTGTTAGGGACTACTTCATGACACATTTTTCAATTCCAACCCATATACATCCATAATGATAAAAGAAATCACTTAATGAATTACAACTTGAAGGCGTTTGCGTTGATGGGTTGTATTCGGACTTGCGACGATCTGAGGGGTCTCTGTCCAAATGAATCGTATCTCAGCTTACAGATCCTTCACGATTGAAATGCGTCATGAAAAACTATTCAGTTCGGAATATTTCCATTCAATACTTGGTTATGAAAAAGTGTCGACTTGGACATTTCTGACTTTTGGTCATGTGAACAACCGCACAGGAAGGTCTGGAGCAATGGGACCGAAGTCTACACTGGAGGGTTCACAGCATCCTACGGAGACTAGTTTAGACAAATTGCTTTCTCCATTGAGGTCTTCGGTTTCTTGCGATGCTTCGATCATTCTCCCCACTCTGATTTCCTCTCCCCACGTTCAAAGGTCGCCGACTGTCAGCACTCGACAAAGTGGTTGGAATGATACCTGTCCTGCCTCAAATAATCCAAGCAACGCTTTGATGGTATGGTATGGAGATTCTCAAGCAGATGGAGTTGCTACTACTCGAGGCAAAAGGCTTCAATATGTACCCTCTATGGACATGAAAGTTCCAAGAACCTCAATTCAGGATTTTCCAAAACCGGAAGGTCAAATCATGTCGTCTGTAGTTTTGCAAACTCCGTCCGACATTTTAACACATACAACAGATCTATCAAGCCTGATACATCAAAGTGTAAGCAGACCCCCGACTTTGTCAATACAGGAGCATATTAGGCAATGTGAAGCTATGGCGAATAGGGTAAGGGGTGCCGCTGAGCTTAATACCCCGTTCAGTATGCTTTCAGAAGCTGTATGTGGTGAACCAGAAGTTGTGCCTACTTCAGACTCAAAGCCTCCAAGTTTTTCCGGAGGCTCCTCGACAGCCGAAATTCATGATAGCCAGCCTCCGGCAAGTCAGGTCGTTAATCCTTCTGCTGAGGCTTCACACTACACAAGGGAATCGGGAATTGCATCCATTCCCTCCAGTTGTAATCCCAGGAGCCCAAGTTTATTCAAATCACAGGAGGCTGGTGAGTGCATTGCGAATACAGACCTCACAGAGGTGCCTAGGATAGAGCTGTCAACTATACCCACCTCTAAGCGAGAACCGGATGTGGCTGACGCTGACGGTTTGGAATCAGAGTATGAGGATCAGATTATTCAGGCCTTGGAAAAGCTTAGGAAGGCACAGGCAGCAGAGTATGCTTGTGCCGAGAAATATTTACATGCGCAGAAGAGAACTATTATTGAGCATTACCTACAGCTTGGAAATGTTTGTGGAGATATTGCTAAGAATGGGAGAGTCAAATTATCTCCAAAACAAGTAAAGAAGGATCTGTCTAAATCGATTACTTTTACCGACCGTGCTATGAATCGTCCTGTTGATCAGGTCGGGAAGATGCAGGAAGGGGAGAAGATATTCGAGTCCATGCTTAACATCTCTAACGGTTTTGGCCAGGCTTCGAAAGAGTTCTTACGGGAATTTTTCAATTGGCCGCCTACTGATATTGCTGAGTCTTAGGGATGGTTTGTTTCTCCAATGCGTTCTAAAAGGTACTCTGTTAATGGAGACGGATTGCCTTACAGGTAGACTCATCGGTGATATTTGTGATAACATTTTAAATGATCTGTGAAATGGTGGAACTCTTAATTTTTTTAAGCCAAGAAATGATGGACATTGTCAGAGTGTTAATAGACTTTTGCATGTGTATGTCAAGTTTGATGCTTTTTCCGTGGATGGCTTGGTGTATTAAGCCCGATAATTAAGACAATCGATTGCCATTGTACATTCCGTCAAAACGTAGGCGTAGTTTCGCCTCACAACTGTTCTGTTTCAGATATTGCAATATAAAGGCAATATTTGGAACATTTGAGCCTGCATTTGAAATAATGTATTGTGATGATACACTCGTTAAAATATGAGGCTAGTTAAGATCAGTCGATGAGTTATCTTTGATGCTGATGATATGAGGGGTATATACTAGTAAGCAACCGAGTTCTTTCAATTTCTGGAAATTTGGAGGATTATCACGTCAAGTTAACTCTCCTGTCATTGCCAACCTTAACATTTTTTAATGCATTTGTTGATATGTAGAAATGAAAATAAATGTAGGCATAAAGTTGATTTTGAACGGGAAATAAATATGCAAATTAAATTTTGCTTATATATATATATATATATTGGATTGAAATTTAAATTATTTTAGTATACTAGATTGTATAAGAATTTCTCTAATATTTAAATGCACCGTAATCAGTAAAGATTATGTAAATATTACAAGTTACATTAATTTATTCTTTCACTTTTATCAAAAATATTCTCAAAGAATGAAAAAATAAAAATAAATACTAAGTTTTAGTGTGGAAGTAAATAAAAATTTAAAATTGCTTTACAATAGTTATCTTTGTACTTTTTAAAATTCAATTACTTGTTTAAAGCTATTTGAAAATAATTATATAGATTTATAGGACAATTTTGCAAATTAATTGAAAAAAAAAGAATGAAAAGATATGAACTATTATATAAAGATAAAACTTTAAAATTATTCATTTTTTTTCTTTCTAAAGTAACATAATTCAAAACTTATTGAATTAATCTATTCATAATATAAAAAAATGAATCAAATCTTAAAAATTAGTGTTAAATTTTTTAAATGGTAGATCAAATTTATTGTCTTGAAGATAAAAAAAAATTAACAAAAATATTTACTTGGTTTTATTATTTTATTTTTTATACATCTAATTTTAAATAACATATTTCAAGTGATATATCTTAAAGAAATTTCTTATGTTATAGTCAATAGTCAACAAAATAATTAGACATAACAAGAGCTATTTCTTTAAAATGTATCATCTAAAAGTTATAATTATAGTATAACAATTAATATAAATAATTATAGATTTTTATATTGGAATTGTGTCTATCTCATCATATAACATATAGCCACTAGCTTTGCACAAACAATTTCTGCATTTAAAAAAGTTGATTAGATGTTTTGGTGTACTATATTTTTTGTCATGAAATGTTGATCTTAGAAGTTTTTATTAATTTAACAATCTCTTAGGACTTTAAAGACAAATCAGATTGATGTCATGCTTTGTAAATATCTTAGAAAAATTTAAACTTTCTGATTGGCTAAAGATTATATTCTTAAAGTTCAGTGGCATACAACCAATAAAGACATCTTAAATTTGTTTGATCTTTGGAGAAACTGAATTTGATCATGAGAAAATTAGAATAAAGAAGAAATAAACAAACTTACAAATATTATGCAAACAAGTTGGGTGTGTGATTTTTTAATAAATAATTCAAAAAAACTTGATTTTATTTACAATTTTTGCAAATTATTGACAAGTCATATATTTATTTAGGATGTTAAAAACCCAAGATATTTTTGTAGTTATATTAAATAGATATATTATTATTCTATAACCATCAATCCAAATATACATATAATATAACTCAACTATATCAATTTAAGTTATGACCATTACATTGATGGATATTTAATTTAATGAGATTGATGCATTCATCTCTTATACTTTGCACACCATTTTCTATTTTTTACAAACCATTTTAATTTGTTTAGTTTTAATCAGAGTGCTTCAATAAGTATATATATATATATATATATATATATACATGCCATTACTACAAAATAATAATAATAATAATAATAATTAATTGATTAATTGTCCATGCAGACATCTAGAGAAGGTACTGAATGACAAAAACAACTTAAAATTAGTCTCTGGAAGTAACCGTCCATTACATTTTGTAAACAATGTAGCTCTATCTCAAAACCCACAATTTGCAAATCGTAAAGCAAAGCATTTGAGATTATTAACATGTCACAATATACCTTAAAAACCTGTTAAAGCCTTGATTCTGCTCCACTCTTAGAACTGCACACATTTTCAATCATTTGAAACAATCATTTTAACCATGAGTGACCTTTTTCTGGCACCTGAAGGAGGCTACTCAAGCAAGGTTTATTAACGAGTACATGCGCATTTCCACCTAGTATCTTGAATGTATTTCACTATCTTTTAAAAATGTTTCCATTTGAAACATATCGTAAAAGTCTAAGTTTATAATGAATTACGAAATAATCTTTTAGAAAACCATCACATTCAACTTGCTGCAGTTGGGATTATTCCACAACTTGAAATCCTACATAGAATCCAAAAGTAGTTTATTTCAGCCAAACATTCTAGTTTTTCAATCTTCTGAGTTTACTATGGGTGCACATGAACATAAACCATGCTGAGTATTTTCTTAAAAGTATAACCAGTTTACATTTAGATCCTAAACTCAATTTCTCTGTTTTCTTCTCTCTTCGTCTTTTTTTCTTTTTTTCTACCTTCGATAGAAGTTCTGTTGTTCTAAAAGACTTTTACTCTCCTTAGGTTAGAGTAAACAGGCAGTGGTATAAAATTGGGGCAGAATGCCACTTGGACGGCCCAATTCTGATACAAAAAGTGCAGCAATCTGGAAAGGGCTACATAAAAAACAAAAAAAAGTCAATTTCGGAGGATTTGCCATTATAAAAATTTCTAAGCATACAAATCGGAAACTTAAAACCACCTAAGAACTTGAGTTGGTTCTAAGAACCAGGTCGTTGGTATATCAGAAAATTGCATTCACGTGGACGACATACGACACTAACTCCGTCGAAGCCAAGTTTGCGAAGAATAACAAAAACGTGATCACATTGTTCACAAGATGGTAAATTTGACAACATTTACAAAGGTGCGATTGGTCACACCATGTCAGAGCCAGCATCAAAATAATCAGCTGCCGAGGATTCCATAATGGAATCCATTTGTAGAGCTCCAGGAATGTTTCAATGACTCAGCAGACTGAACCAAAGCCGAGTATAATTTGTCGAGTGCGAAACTCATAAGAGATTGGTGGTGGATTTGACACCCGCTTTGAGCGGAAGCTGGACATGAAACATGTCTCTGATGTATTACCTTACACTAAGTCTAGATGAAAGGCAAAGAATGCTCCTCTATATAACCCCTAATGGCCTACAGAGATTCCATTCCTTGTCAACCTAACCTTCTCCTGCACAGGTGTAACAAAACATTGTGAGACGTGAGAATGTACACCCTCAAATCTCACATGGATTCTAGTAGTAATCATTACTGTATTTGTTATTATAATGAAGTGGGTTTTACATTTAAGACTTCCAAATAGAGTCAACTACATAATAAATAAAAAATCACATTGACAGATCCCCTCGCTTAAACGACTATACCATCCAGATCCAGATGACGAATCTATCCATCCAAACATGATCCAACACGATAATGACTTGGAAAAGCCTTCACAGGAAATTAAAGGACAAACAGGGATAGTAAAAATAAAAGCAACCCATACCTTTTGTTACAATGGAAGTAGCATTAAGTTGTCTGGAATCCTTTGAGGAACAAATACAGCAGCTACAAATCTTTCAGGATACGCATTCTCAGGGCTGTACACCAGCGGGGCTTCACGATGTGCTTCTAGCTTGCCACGAGGACTACCGTTTGGACTAGATAATCCAGCTACAAATTCATTGCCATTGACCCTCGCCATCCGATTCAACACTACCAACTTGTCAAGATCATGTAATTCCCTTGAGAGCTTCGATGCAGTAGGTGCTCTTTCCAATCTGTCCATTCCATCACCTCATTAGATGCCAGAATGGTAACAGAGAAGATCTTTTCAGGCACTAAATACACATACATTAAAAGAACTGCACATTATTTAAAATCAAAAAAAGAAATCACTTTGTTATGCATCATCTAGTTGCCGTCTTAAAACACCAACCAAAAGGCTTATTGACCAGGATTCAGTATATACTCCACATATGGACAGATTATAAACTTGGGAAAGATTGCTTCTTCATTCCTATAACACACTCATGTTGAGATCACCGACAAACATATGAATAAAGGAAGTCATTTTCAAGAAAGAAATACATTTACATAAAGCCCGACATATAGACATCAATTTAAGGCTCCGCTAATCCATACCTTGACAATACGCCCTGCAGATCTGTCATTTTTTGTTTGAATTGCACCTTTAATTTGCTTGGAAGCCCAAGTGCGCTGGTTCGTTTAACTACGGCAAGCTGCTGCTCACTCTTTACACTGCATAAGCTAAGAGGGTTTAGATACCGAAATTTGGAAGAACATCGGATTATCGTCAGATGATTCCTGGAAGTCATCATAAGGTTTTTCAACATAACCAGAATGAACTTCCTAGTATTCAGCAATGATTATGAATGACCACTACTTCCAAATTTTACATGAAAAGAAAATTAAGAACCTAACTTCTAAAAATGTATATCTGATAACTTGAAGGGGAAAACATTAAATCTAGATTGTGAGATCAAGAAAGTTTTGAGGGTTAGAAAGTAAGAAACGTACGATGAATTATCTCCATTGCCGTTTTCTGCACTCTCTTCAATAGCTTCAATAGCAACAGCGCAAGGAATTTCCCTGTTCAAACCAGTGGCTAGCCAACAAGCTTCGCTCACTGCAAACTTAGCAAGCACAAAAGTGGCAGATTTATAATCATCCAAGGTACTCTCCTTAAACAACTGACAGGGGAGAGCTGGAACAATCTGCTGCATAAGTTGAGTGGTGAATTTCAATCGCCTCTTTGCCCGCTTTACACACATTGCCGTAATATCAAGTGTCTCCACGGCGTCGTTGAAACGTTCCTGTGAACCAGAAAGAAAACGCTAAACAATAGTTCATGTTTACACCCTCTGGAACAAGAAACTCATAATTTCCAAAAGAGTACTATTAGACCTTCATCGAGGCAAAAGATTACTCCTAATATCATAAATAATCAAGTGCAGAATATTCGTGCGTGACAGTCATGAGACAAGCTTTGCATAGGTAAATCTTAACCTCACTGTTCACAATTGTAAATAGAGGATGTGACTGATTATTATTTTATTCGTACTAATATGAATACTATCGAAATATACATGTGACTATTAATTTAGAAATATTATGGATATATAAATATTATTGTAAAATGGATGCGACTAAATATCATCAATTCAAAAATACTCAAAAAGTCATTCACAATTACAATCGCACTATCACATTTACATCCTAAGTGCATGTTAACGCATATAATAATGCCAGGTCGATAAATTCTCCCAAAAAGGAAAATTAGTTTCAGTCAAAGACGTAAAAGACAGCAGGCTCGTTTGTAAAGCTATTGAAGTCCATACCTGGTCTGGAACAGAGTTGGTTGCTGCAGCCCACTCCATCTCAGCACGGCTGCATAACAAATAGCAAACGAATTATAGTTGGAAATAAAACCTTATACTACAACACAAAGCAGAGAGCCTAACGGGTTTACTCACCGTACAAAAGGAAATAACATGTGCACTACCTATCCTCATCAACACAAACAGAACACAACTTTCATGCACTCATGTCATCTCCAATCACACCAACACAAGACCAAAGTTGCCCCCTGATATAAGAACATAATGCGAAATATCCAATAAGTGAAAAACCTTGTCGTTGGAAGATTCGTAGACCCTTGTGAAATGGTGGTGCGCCAGGGTACAAGTGGTGGATACTCTTTTCTTTTTTTAAAAAGAGGTGTAACTGGAGTTGCTTGCTTCATCTGCTGCAGTTGCTGCAAGGCACCAGGTTGATTTTGGGCTAATCCAACACCAACTTGGCCAGGTTGGCCAGCAACCATCTCAAGTGTAGTCGACTGTTTGCCAGTGGAAATCCCTGCAGGCATTGCTGGTCTATCTGCAAATCCCACTCTGGACATATGTTGCTGTGCTGCAATTCTAGGATCTAAGCCGGATGACATATTTGGATGATCCATTGAATGGGCAGCTGCGTTAGCTCTTTGACTCTGTTGCAGTTGCTGTTGAAACTGCATTTTAGCTGCTTGACTCAGGCTTTTGTACAAGTTCTCAGCTTTCTGCCTAGACATGTCGTTAGGGAAGTGCCTGTTAACACCAAGCAAGGCAGGCTTCATGGCCATCCTATCTTGCATTGGGCCATGTCTTGGCAGATTTTCAGCCTGTAACTGCGCAGCTCGCATGTTTTGTGCCTGCATCTGAGCCTGCATTTGAGATTGCATTTGAGCCTGTGCATATGCAGTAGACTCCTGCCTACTAAATTCATGCATTAGGTTCCTGCCTTGATGCCAACCCTCATTATTCCTCGACAGTTGTAGCTCCACCTGTTCCCTTGACATTAATTCTGGTCGCGAAGGGGTGGGACGTTGCAGAGGGCTGGTTCCCATGGGTCCTATACAAGGGAATATCACTAATTAAACAGAATACTGGCATTGTCTTCTTCGATGCAATGAAATATTAGAATAATATATCAATAACGTGCAGAAGCACTGAGACATACCTGGTCTCAAGTGTGCAAAAGAAGCAGTAACAGGTGCAGCAGCATCCTCCAATGCTGTTCCATCTTGTTCTTCCATGGCTTCTCCAATTTTCTCACCCTGCTCTGCCTGATTCAACAGCTCCAAAGTATTTCTGCAAGTGAAAGCGTTCACGAAGTCAATTATATTTATGTTTTCATGTAGAGTATGATCAATAACTATACAATGACTGAACGTTATCGAACCAGGGCAATGCTCTCCTAATTAGAACAAAATTGACCAAACTAACGATTCAGAGTACATTGTCCCTCCACTGGGATAACCAATTGCAATCTCAAATGCAGGCTCAAACGCAGGCACAAGATACGCGATCCATTATTGGGACTCATCATCTACATGATTGCTCAAAATATAATCATGTAGATGATGAGTCCTAATACTCGATAATGCTAGAAGGTGTTGCACAAAATAAACATAACAGTACATTACCTTCCAGGATCACCCATGTCTCTACGGCCAGAGTACCGCGCTCTGTGAGCTAACATACTATTAGCGTAGGCTGTGTGCTCATCACAAGCACTTCCAGGTCTTGGTGGTGTAAAATATTCCTGCACAACCAAGTCTTCTTAAGTACGACATTAAGAAGTACACCCCAAAAGCAATTAGAATATCAGATTTGATTCCTTCCAGAAATATTTAGCTATCATTCGAAACCAGACTCAACATGAAAACTAAAAAGATTAAAAAAAACTTAAGATCTGTTCAGTAAACACGAAACTTCATTATCTGAAACTAACTTCCAAAGCACATCAATATCCCTTAAATTAATAGAGAAGCAAGTGTAACGCATGCTAAATCATGTACCTTGCCCACGTTTCCACCCACATTGCTTGGCTGAAGTGCTCTCACTCCAACCTTGGACTGCTCGGTTCGGATTTGATTAGCTGCATGTGCCCATCCTGCCATGGCATCGTCTGTGGCTCCATTCATCGGAGTAAACCTTTCACCACCATTTTGGTGCCTATAGCTAGCCACTGCATTCATCGACCGGAGTGGTTGGGACCGTGAGGATTCCTCTCGCATGCTAGAAGCTCCAGCATTCATCATAGAGGACAACCGATTCTCTGCTTGTTGGTTGCTTAGCTGCAGCTGTAACCTACCCTCCTGCTGACCGCTACCGTCCATCACTGTGTCGTCAAGACTATGCCTAGTATCAGAGGCCCAAGCACTATTCCTCCCCTGATTCTGCAAGTTGGCTTTGTTCATTGATGTCTGGTGCTCCACAGGAAAGTTGGCTTTGCTCATTGATGTCTGGTGCTCCACAGGAAAGTTGGCACTATGGACAACGGGATCAGGATTCTGAATTATGGCATTTCCATCCCTATCCATACGATGAGAAAATGAACTGGCTTGATCAATGTGCCGACTTGCTGGGCTAGGATCATTTTCGCTCAAAGATGCCTGGCTCATAGCCTCCTGGAAGCTTGGACCCTGATTGTTCAATTGCTGCCTTCCGTCAACATCCTGGAAACCCTGAACAGGCTGTGGGCTTCTTGAAAGCATTACCTGATGCTCATCCCTAGTGACACGTTGACTTTCTACGCTAATAGCAGCCGGCATCGTGCCTTGACCACCACCCCAACCACCCTGTGTTACCCTTGCATTTGGATCATCAGATAACTCAGACTGCGATCGTGCCACATGGGCGTTGTTTTGCGCCCACATTGCGCTCTGCTGCTCTTTAACTGTCTCAGATAGCTGATTTGAGTTCCCTGAATTTTGCACACTTTGCCACAAGCTCTTCCAGCTCGTCTGTCCACGATCAATATCCGTAAATGCCTGAAAAGACGGATTAGTAGGTACTGATTGTTGAGAGCTAGCTTGCAACAAGCTGTGGTTGCGCCAATTGCTTTCCTCCTGAGAGTTCTGCAATTCCGGCTGCCTCCCATTCGCCTCCAGCTCAGAAAGTTCCATCATCGATGCCCCCGACTGCAATGACCCAGGATGGATGATACCACTGTTTCCATGAGCAGCTAAAGGATGTACGGCAGTAGACTTCGGAGTTCCCTGTTGAACGATGGAGCCACTTGGAGTATTATGGTGTCTCGAACCAAGCTCACCCGATGACTGAGAATTACTTGGTTGAGCACCATGAGCTCCCCATGCGTTTTGCTGCACCTTCGACCTCTCAAAGGCTAAAGAGTTGTCAGTATCAGGAGCACCATGGCCTTCACTCCCACCAGACCAGCTGTTGCTCTTGAGCGTGGAATCCGTATTTCCTGGCAAAACCACTGGAACCTCAACCTGCGATGCATCTGGATCCATTTCGTAGTTGTTCCACATAGGCTGCTGTTTCCTATCGTTCACATTCTGCAAGAAGGAGCCACCCGCCTGATGAATACCTTGCTGGTAATTATGTCCAAAATTACCTGCCAGATATGCACTCCTTGCCTGCGGCATCGGTCGCATCATATTAACAGGACGACCCTGTACACCTTGAGCATTTCTGCTGGGTACCATCAGATTATGTTGTTGCTGTTGTTGCTGTTGCTGCTGTTGAATAGGATCCAATGATGTTAGACTTTGAGAAAATAGCTTAACATGGGGAGCCCCATCTTGCTGAACAGCATTCCCCCTAATATTCTGTTGTTGAAGTCTCTGCGCTTCTTCTAGGACTTGTCGGTTAGCTGGAGAATGATTACTCAGGTGTGAACTACCAGGGAACCCTTGCATATGATTCACTGCCTGAGGTTGCGACTGCTGTTGCATAGCTTGTCCGAACAACATTTTAGCCTTCGGAGGCTGAAGATCTGGAACGGCCGAACGACCTTCCATTTCAAGCAAAGGCGACGGCCCTGCTCCAAGACTACGAGGAATAGGCCTGTTGATTTGTGCCGGAGGTGCCGGGTGCTTGCCCAGCCCGCCCAGGAATGCCGGTACACCTCCACCCTGTACGTTCGCGTAGGGGTTTGACTGCTGACCAGTCTTACTGCTAGTTGCAGCAGATGCATGCATGGATTGATCAAGCCCAGAAGCTTTCATAGCCAATTGATGCCAGCTGAAACTGTTGTCTTGTCCCAGAAGATAATTAATAGAGCCCTGCCCAGCTCCAGTCTCATTCTGATTAGAGTACATAAGGCTCCCAGCATTGTTTTGGTTAACTGCTTGTAAATTTGGGTGCATAAAAGGAGGTTGACCATCAATACCCATATGCTGAGGATTAACACGCTCAGGTTGCTGTTGCATCACTTGCGGTAAATCATGTAAAGAACCTTCACCAAGAAACGCTTGGAACTGGTTGCCGGAGGCTTGATTCTGATTTCCAGCAAATAATTGTTGCTGCTGGGAACGCTGCTGCAAACGCTGCTTGGCCTAAAAATCAAGAATGAAGTTTAGCAAATGAAATCCTGATGCAAATTGCAGAATGAACCAATTTTGTCCTAGACAAAGTCACGATACGAAGTAGACACGGAACCTTTTCCTCACGGATTTCACTGGAGGATATTAGAGTAAAGAAGGATTCATTATTAAGTACTACAAAAATATCTTATACTTCACAATATTTCACTATCAGAAACAAAGAAAGGAACAGTGCCTTGGAGCACGCCTGCTCCCTAAAAAGAGTTTCACCACACCAAAAAGCAGACAGCACAGCATTCCTCACTGACGACAAACATCTCTTGGTCAGCACTTCTTGAATTCCCTGCATGCACAGTCCCATCCCTAGCATTTACTGCTTTGAAATAGCATAAAGAAGAGCCAAAAGGAAGAGGTAAGATCTGAGGAGAGAAATTAGATGTAGCAAACCTGAGCTTGTTGACGTTGTTGCAGATCTTCATGAGTGTTATTGGCATAAGAGCTTAACTGGCGAGGTTGCTGCCATGCTGGCAGCGGGTGACGTTGCTGCTGCTGCTGCTGCTGCTGCTGCTGCCTCCACATCTGAGCTTCACCTTCGTCAAGCTGTTGCTGCCTAACATCTGACTGAGGTTGCCCCTTCATCGTGTAATCACCACTCAAGAAATCGTAGTCACTAACCTTCAATGGTGAGACCTCCATGGTCTGATTGTCATACTTGTTGAAGTTCTGGTTCTGTTGCCCGTGCATTCGAAGCTGCTGTTCTCTGCTGCTAGCTTCTTTCAAGCGAAGTTGCTGCTCTCTGTTACTCACTTCCTGCATTCGAAGCTGTTGTTCTCTAGTGGTCGTTTCCTGCTGAATTCGACGCTGCTGCTCCAGAGCTTGTTGTTCCCTAAGCTGCTGCTCTCTGCGCAGCTGCTCTCTGCTGTTGGCTTCTTGCATTCGAAGCTGATGCTCTCGATTCCTAGCTTCTTGCGCCCACATCTGCTGTTCTCGCATCTGCTGCTCTCTGCTACTAGCTTCTTGCATTCGAAGCTGCTGCTCTCGATGTTCTCGATTCCTAGCTTCTTGCATCCGTGCCTGCTGCTCTCGCATCTGCTGTTCTCTGCTGCTGGCTTCTTGCATCATAGCTCTATACCGCTGTTGCTCGGCTAGACCCATGTTTTGTGCAAGAGATCCGGCATGCGGAAATCCGGATCCATTGAAAAGGCCCTGAAAGTCATATTGAGAATTCTTTTCAGTAGTGGAACCCTGCACATTATCTAGTCTTGATGCATTTAGACCTGCCTCAGCTGGTTGAGGGATCTTGTGAGGCTGAGCAGAATTCGTAGGCAAAAAAGAGTACATAGAGGGGGTCGGATCACTATTTACTGATTGTGGCATAGAATACATGGCTCCTGGATATTCCGAGCTACTTTGTGCACCCCCAATCTTCAACTGCATTGCTCTTCTTTGATCTTCAGTCATTGCTGCCCAGTTGTAAACCTGTGATTGTTCTCGCTGGTTATTATTGGCCATCCAAGTATTCTCAGGCACCCACCAACTATTAGCTGCCGGCTGAGGCTGCTGAGAGGTCTGGCCTGCCTCAAAGAATTCCTGATTTTCCTCGGCTCCATCACTACCAAACAGCGATAACTGCGACTGCTGCTCTTGTGGCTGAGGTGCTTGCGTTTTGGCAAAAAAGTCTACACTAGAAACAGGCTTTGATACTGGATGAGGAATCTGATAATCTGCGTAATCCACATCGCTAGCAGCTACCCCATCCTGTATCATCCCTCACACAATGGCGCATTATAACCCAACTGACCACACCATTTCAGTTACGAAAAGATACTTGAATGAACAAAGCAAGCATGACCGTGATGTCAACCTGGCATCAACATATTTCTACACACACACACGCACATATATATATTCCAATGTTCTGAACGAAAGTAGTTAAAAGCCCCTAATTACATTAAGTACCTACCAAGCTGCAATGCCGGAAGCTTAACATAATGATTAGAAAAAAAATACAAAAAAAACGAAGTAAACGAAACTGCGAAGGATACTGTTTCCATACATCAGCATTTGAGTGCATCGCTTGTTCCTTGTAGAGCTGTTTCTCCGAACCATCCCTGCAATCGAGGTAACCACGATAAACATCCAATGAGATTGCTTCTTTACAATTCTAGAACGGGAACACCCATCATACTCTATTATGAGGTAGGAATGGTAAATGTAAACTGAAACCATTGGACCACATCTTTCAGCATCAGGATTGAGTGGAAGGAAGACAACAAGCTGGTTGAAAAGGTCTATGGTCGAAATTGCAACTCGACTAACTACGGAGCTTTGCAGAACATAAATCTAACGAAGCGAGTGATAATAATCGAGGGCTACAGATTCTTCGATTACATGTAAACAAACGAAACGGATAATCTGCGAAAAAGTAACGACACATAGTAGGAAAAGTTAAAAGGAGAAAAGCAAGGCATTAAAATTATGTAGGTATTACTGAATATTAGCTGGAATTAGACACGGCTAATCTAGTATTACATCAGACTCCTGCTAATTTCAGCACATAATACCACACCGTTGTGGAAACCCCCAAAAAATGTATATTCACTCACCTTGATTGCTTCAGCGACTGATTTTCGTTACTTTCAGGAGCATAACCGTAAGGACCAACCACTCCCGAACCGTCTAACAGTTCAAACGAAGGAAACGAAGAATCTGTTGCATGCCCATCTTTCGTACATCACAGAAAACCAGTACGTAAGCATGGTACAATTTTGACCTTGTCACGATCAAAAATTTTTTGAAGTTTTGAACACTTCATGTATTTGATAAACTAACAAGTGAACCAACACATTATACTAGAATGATTCACTAAAAATTAACTTGGAACCGACAGTGCCTTAAATGAAAACGACCGTGCTCACCTGGAAGCAGGACAGCAGTAGCCTCTGGTGCTGAAGCAATGCTGCAAAAAAGAAAGCTGGATATAAGTGCATGAACATGGTGAAATTGAAAGGAGCAAGACTCCCACTGAGAGAATTGAACAATCAAGCCAGCCGTATGCATGTTATAAGTTCGTCCTAAATGCTATTTCTCCGCCATATATTCTACCTCCACAATCCACAAAATAAATAAATAAATAAATAAACACACACAATTTACTCTGAAGAACAGGACACCGAAAACAAAGATCCCTCGCAATGTATCAAATTTGGAGCTGCATCGGTCCCACGAATGTGACAGTGATCGATCCAAACTCTGACTACACTCGGAACCAAAACACCCAGTGTATCAAGGCGGGCACATACTTGTTGTTTGGTCGATCCAGCAACGTAAAATCAATGGATGCGTAACCATCCTGCGACATAATGAATTCATTCTCGATCTCCATAACCGTCAGTACCAACGCGAAAGTTCTGGTCCTTCCTTCGAGGAAAGTTGCCAAACTCCTGGTCCTGTCAATACTCCAGCACAACTTCGCTCGCCATTTCTACACTCTACCTCTGACAAACGCCACTGGAATAGGCAATTCTGTTTTCTGTCCCTGAGAACATATTACCTCCAATCATGGAAGGGGGGAAATGCCACTGTTCGCACACATTCGTCGAAAACATTGACAACGGCATCTCCAGGAAATAAAGGTAAAAACTAGGAGCTTGAAGTATAGTGGTGCGGACTGTGAGAAAGAGTTCAACCCAGCTCTTCCATGCTCTACGCCACCAATATTTTTCACCAGTCACTTAGCCGCCCTTTAGCCAGCCCGACCAAGTCTTCCAATCGACCTATTCCTAATTCATCACATCCACAAGGTCAACACTACCACAGATAAACCCCACTACAAATGCCATGACTCAAAATAAATAAATGCAGTGTTTTCGCGATGCCACGACCACCGCAAAATACATCTTAAGCATCCGCGCAAAAGAACCCTGAACGGCACGTCAAAGCTCGATTGTCGGAATGAAAGGAGAGTAAAATAATAAATAAACAAACAAAAGAACATACCTTGTAAAGTTTCCACCGCACCCGAAAGCTCCAAGCCAATCTACTCACAAAAACAGCTGACTACTCTCAAGAACCTAGTCTCAGCAACGAATACGAGCATCTCCTGCTAAAAATACCATGGGCACTGGAGTTCCACGGCAAGGATGTATTCCCCTGATTCTCCCAACAACCCTAAAGACAACCCCAAACCACCCTCGGAGCAAAGTGCCGATATCCTCCCCCCGCTTCCGTCCACCTCTTAAACCTAGGGTTTTCATCCACACACGGAACCACCGCTATCCACCCAAACCAAACCAACACAGCAGCAATAACACCACCTCGCACACTGCAAACTCCACGAAACCCTCTCGCGCGCGCGCGCACACACGACTAAAACGATGTAAAGGATTCTCCAATTCAAACCGCTTCAAATCTATTCAACCACGGGGATGATTGGGACTATCAACACGCCACCTGGGCCTTGAGCTCCTTAGACACCGCAACAAAAAAACACGAGACTAGCAGGCACGGTCACACGTGCCGGACACCATGGTCACCATAACAACAACAACAGCAACAACAACCCCTCCTCGCTAAGCCGGTGTAAGGCCATCCGGCACACCATCCTCCTGCCCCCCTCCCCCTCCCACCCCTGCCTGCCTGGTCTGCCCTGCCTACTCGCACCGATTCCGTGTCCGCTCCTTGGGCTAGGTCGATCTCACCATAGCCAGCAGGCCGAGAGTCCTGGCACATCCCTCCCTCCCTCGCGAGGCTCTACCGCACCCGCATCTGCCCCCTCTACTCTCTCACCGCACCAACACTACCAGCACTTCCAGCAGCAACACAGCCAGCCAGCCCGTCTCGTTCTTAGTCTCCGTCGTCATTGGAAAAGGGCCGTTTCCTCTGTTGCCTACTCTCCCTCCCTTTGCCCACCCACCCCCAGTCCCCCTTCACTCCCCTTCCCTTTCCTCTGCCCCTTTTTCCCTTCCTCTCCCCCGTCCCCCTTTATAATAGAGATGGCGAGGGGGAGTAGTACAACCACCACCCCACGCTCGCTCGCTCCCTCTCTTCCCTTCGCTCCCTTTGCCATGTCACGGGGCCTTTGCCTTGTAGTAGTAGTTCACTTGTTTCCTCTCCCCATGGCGCCCATTTTTGCATCCCTCCCGCCCTTCTGCATGATTTTGCATATCAGGTCCCTCCCTTCTGAGGTATGGCTTCTGCACTGAATAAGTAATGCAAGGACTTGAAACATAGGCTTAGTTCATTTCATTTTTCTTTCCTTCCCCACAACCCCCCTCCCATCCCCATCCCTTAGTTCATGCTCATCTCGTCAGCTTGTTTCACAAGTTCCCCAGCAGTGAGCTTGTGTTGAACCAGAGAAAGTTATGGCTGTATCACCTTGAAGAAGTAGGGCTAAATTTAAATTTGTATTTATGTGTATTTTTATAAAAAAATTCCCTCCATCCTTACATGTGGTTTTACCTTGGTGTCAGCAAGGCCTTCGGCACGTTGGTTTCAAGCTTGCAGTTGACTATGAGTCAATCCAAACAGAGAGCTGTGAGCTTGTTGTGTGTGGATTGTTGTTGCTGGAAGAGGCAACAATTTGGATACATGTCATTCAAGGGCCCACACACACACACAAATCAACAAATCCCACAAAAAGAGATTCTCCTCCTCCATCAGTGCAAACATGCCCTGCCATCAGCCCCGTTTTGTTTTTGTCATCTTGAAATAAGATGGATTTCATCCAATTGTAACATGTCATGATAGTTGAAAGAGTTTGCCATTTTTTTTTTTTTTTCTGAATGTGCATCTCCTCCAACAATATTGAGTTCCAGCTTTGAATGAACTTTTTTTAAATAATTTTTTTGATGTATGTTTCCTATGAACAGTTTTTTTTTTTTTTTTTTTTTTTTTTTTTGTCAGGTGCAAAACAAAAACAAACTTTGATTACGTGAAGACTTTGGGAATTGATCAAGATTTTTAAAAACATTGAGTTATTGTGCACAACCTCAGATACATGAGGTAAGCCTTTTCATTCAAATGTAGAAAAAAGGGGACAATTGACATATTGGGTAGGTTTACTAAACCCAATTGAAGGAGACTGTTTTGCTTAAGCCAGGAAGCACAAGAGATAACACAAAAACCATATTAGCAGAAATTAGTTTTACACCCAAAAGCTGACATCATCATCAGCATCATGGAAACATCACAAAAGGCAATGTGTTGCAAATTGGGATTTAGACAAATAGGCATTAGGATCCTTTTAGTGTTTTTAGTGTTTTTGTGTTTCCAAGTGAAGAATCATAGTAATGTGAAAGGGCCAGGAATCTCAGCAGAAGGAAGCTCAATCAGTCCAGTTCTGTGACTGGAGGGTGTGGAGATTCAGTGTTAGCCCCAGTATTGCTTCAGGCCTGTGCCTTGGTAGGCATGGGAACTACCACACCCAAACCTCCAATCTCATCCTCATGCCAGTGGTAGTAATATTAGTAGTGGGGAGCAGCACACACATTCACAAGTTCAGCACTGGGTGGGTCGGTGGGTGTGTGCCCATTGGGTTCATTTCATTCTGGCATTCCAAGCCCCAGGAGATGAAGAAGAAGAAGAAGAAGAAGAAAAAATGGCAAATAGTCCAAGGCCCACAAAAGTAGTTGTAGTAGTAGTGGGAAGGGAAGGGAAGGGTCGGTGCAGTGCAGATTTCTAGGTCCAGTGTCCTTCACAATAAAAAGCTTGATAAGCATAGTGGAGTAGCATCCCTTTCTACTTGTAGCAAATTACCACTTTCTTTGCCAAAAACCCCTTCTTCCTGCTTCTCTTTTTGTCTTACACTCTCAAACAAACAGAGGAGTCTGCACTTGTGCCAATTTAACTGTAAACTTGCTGGTTTTGTGTTCACATGTACTTGGGTAACCCCCATGAATGGACAGCAAAGGATGTGCTGTGGGGGTAGGGAAAAAATCCATTCTTCTTTTGGGTCACCAATATAAGTGATCATGCTACCTGCTAGCAAAAGCTTGTGTCATTCAACAAAATAACAGTTGATGCATTCATTTTATTAGATTTGGTTTTTTCTAGGTGTATTTTGGTATTAGAGTTTAGAGACATTTCTCACAAACTCCTTGTGAAGTGTATTTATTACACTAGTTCTTTGAAAATTTGAAGTCTAGATTCAAGGCAATACTCTAATTGATAAATATGATGTTGAAATTATGATTTTGTTAGAGGACTTATTTGTGTCCTTTCTTCATCTCTTTAGTGTGAGTTTCACTATGATAAAAATAATAATTTTTTGTCTTAAATATTTTTATATATATTCAATTATTTTCGTCCTTCAGAATTTGCCAAAATTCCCATGATTGTTTGTTTGTGTTCTTGTGAAACACAGTTGATACATTTTTCAAAACTTAAACAAATGCTTTCTTGAAGATTAAAATTATCCTCAATAAAAATAACACTGATTTATTTTGAATTGATATTTAAAACTGTTGAATTCTCCTTCTTTAAAAATATGCTAAAAATTATATTAATATTTTATGTTTCCTCTTGCTTTTATTTTATAACCAAGATCTTATGTTAAAAATTAATCAAATTTTAGGAGCTATATATAAGATAAAAATTCACTTTATTTATCAAAAGAAACACAAGTTTTAAATTTTTATTGAAGAATAAAAAAATGAGAGTGAAAAAAATACAAAATACAAAAAGTCAAGTTGTTAGAACCTTAATTAAAGAAATCACTCACCTTAAAAAAATATATTAATAAATCAAAATTCATATACAATTTTTTAATAAATTAAAACTAAATATGAAGAATATTTTATTAGTAATATTTGACGATAGCAAATTGAATAAATTATTGATTTCATTTAGTTTATTTTCATTTGTATGAACAAATAATAGCTAATTTAAGTTTTATTTGATAATAATTTATTAAAAACAATATGGAAATAAAGAATATATATATATATATATATATATATATATAGATATATATATATATATATAGAGAGAGAGAGAGAGAGATATATATATATATATATATATACCTCTTTAAAAACAAATATGTGCATTTGTGGGCTGTGGAAGCAGGTTGAGAAATTCACTTTCATAATTTCATCAAGACCAAGGTGATTACAGAAAATTTTATCTTACTTGCTATTTTTTTTCTTCTTGTATCTGAGAATTTATAAAACTTGATGCTAATTTCATATTTTCATATTTTCATGAAGTTATTTAAATATATAAAAAAATTTATTTTAAAGTGCTTCCAAAATTTAACCTGAATTTCTATTTTGAAATAAAATCAATAAAATTTAGTGATTATGTTTTTTTATAAAATGGTAAGAAATATTAGCATTTTTAAATGCATTTTTCTGGAATATTCTCAAAATTTTATTTCACATTTAAATGAGAAATTTTAAACTATGTCTATATTTAAATTATTGATGAAACTTGATTTTTTGTATTTAAATATAATTTTTGATATAATGCTTAAATTATTTATATTACTTATATAGAATTAAAATATATAGAATTAAAATAATAATAAAACTAAAAATTTCTATCAACTATCTAATATATATGAATAAAAAATATATATATTTTTGATTACATATATGTATATACCAAATATAAATTTAATACAAAGAAAATTTGTTGTAAGAATAAAAGATGTATAATACTTCAGAATAGAAATAATTTACTAAAAATATTAAAAAATATTAAAATAATTATATTTTTTAAATAAATAAATAAATAAATATATATATATATATATATATATATCATTGATTTCAAAAGTATCTAATTAAAAAAATAAAAAATATACTTTTAAAAGTTTTGAATTATTTTCATTGTCAAAATATTTCTCTATATACTTTTATTAAAATATAAAAAGATTTTCTTACACAAAATATTATGCATTTTTAAAATTAGATGTAATATGTTATATTCATATTTCTGTAATTTTTTAATTTTTTAATTTAAGAATATAATTACAAAAAAATATAATAAAACACTTATATAGTTGTATTTTTAATTTTTACTATATGTATTTACTATAAATTTATTTTTAGATTTAAAATATTAAATAATATAACTAAATTAATATATCATAAAATTATGAAATAAATACCAAAAAATTATAAAAGAATTATACAAGTTATTAAGAATGCAAAGACTAGGCTTAGGTGTCACGGCCATAATCATGTAAGCTAATAATTACATATAGAAATAGGTAGAAGTAAGTAAAAGTAGGTAAAAGTAAGTTAATTCTATAGTATTTAATATGGAAGCTTCCTAGAAACTTCCTAGACGCTGCTTTGACTTCATAGGTGTCTTTAATTGACTTCATAGGTGTCTTTAATTGTCAACAAGTTAGCCATGTGCCACACATGTTGTTAGCTTGAAGATTAAGCTAACTATATGGCCCACACATAGAAAAACTTGCCTTGTAAGTCAAGGCATGTGCCTTACAAAGTCAACACATATTGGAGGTCCTATAGAACGTCGCCATTTAACCCCTAGTTAGAGAGTATATATAGAGACAAGAGTGAAGGCTTCTTCACTCTTGTCAACTCCTTTCTTGCTTCTAGTCTAGTTTTAAGGGTCTCTAGTTTACTTGTCTTTTGGCAATAGCCATTCCAGTTCCTCTTTCAATATATATACTTGTTTATATATATTTTGTTACTTTTCTTTGAGTGAAGGCTCACTTATTTGAATTGCTTTTTCATTGAATTCTTGCCCTTGACAGATTGACAAGAGTACACCTATAATATAAGAGCTTTGTCTAATCTTGATTAAGAGTGGATTATCCCTTTTTTTGATAAGATATAAGCATATTAGAAGTTACGAATTACCCTCTTCTAAACTAATATTGTCCTTAGTATTTTCTTTGTCCGTAAGTCCTCTC